AACAGTAGAAAATGCCTATGAACATAAATAGCATAAATACTCCCAAAAAGTATTTTTTTTTCCAAAAAATGTTACAAAAATACACATCTATCAGGTCCACGTCTGTTTCCACAAGCCAGTGCTGAGCTTTCAGTCAACATGGAGGACGTCAGAAACAAGGCAGCAGGGATTGGCTGGTCGGGCAGCATTTAGCACGAATACCACAGTTTCACAGTATTTACAGAGGAGTTTAAAACAACAACAAATGTAAAACATGATGTAGTTGCTGTTACTTAAAGCAGAAAACAATTAGTCCTGCTGGTGCTTAAATAACACATCAGTTGTCACTGTTGCAATAATGTCTGTAGCTGCATTTCAATTGGCGTTAAAATTGCGCAAAGTTTAGTTCTGGAAATAAATACGGCAAGATTCTATATGTTTTTTTTTTCTTTTTAGCTGTATCAAAATTAATGCATTTTGCAAAACTGCAGTAAAAACACTTTTTCTTTGCAGTTTTTATAAAGCAGAAACCCACTAATTTATAGGAGCTGGCCTCCTTGGACGATGCACAGCTGGCTCCACTATAAATAAATCTCATGTAACTGTTTACATCCGTCGCCGCCATTTTTTTTTAAGACATATCGCGTGAACAAACTTCTTCACGTGTGATTTTAAATGCATTTCTTATTTAATTACAAAATTGTGTTTTTTTAACATTAGCAGAATATCAAAAGTTTTACACACATAATGGAAATGCAGCTGCAGACATTTATTCTGATCTTGTTTCACAAGCTGGAGAATAAGAATCTGATAAATTTAGCAGTAGTTCTTAAGTGCTTATCGGGCAGAATATCACAAGTTTTAGGTGTTCTGGTTACATAGCAACAAAAGAACAGCAAGCTGGGTAATTGGTCAGATAATTCAGCAGGGTATTGAGTCTGCAGCTTACTAATTAACAAACTAACTGAAGTTTTCCAACAGCATTTTGTTAATAAGCGTAGTGGGTGATGCTACTTCAGTTCCCACACTGATTATCAAGTTTTTATTTTATTTCCAAGCAACAAGAAGTTTTCTTTTTGTACAACTTGGGAGAAGCACAGCGTTTCCTTTCTCAGCCTGCTCACGAGCAGTGTGCAGCAGCATGTTGGGGAGGGGCAGCTATGAAAACCGTGAGAACTCTGGTCAGCGCTTTTTCTGCCATGTCATTAAAGGACTTAAATTGTAGGAACGATTTTGAAATCACAACTTCCCAAAATCTCAGCTGGTCCTGGTTCATAAGGCAAGCAAATGAGTGAACATATTAGCATAACTGCATTTGTCTAACAAAATAATACAAACCCTTGGAGGGCCACTGTAATAAATGACTGTCGTTCTGAGGTATTGTTGGTGTCACATAGGCAACTTTGGCAGCTTGGTGTTAGTGATGAACAAGCCCTTTTATGGTGAAAAACCTATAGAACTGTGAAGGTTTGGGCTCAACTTTAAATCTGGTTGTAAAAAATCAATTTAAGTTTATAAAATATTTTACTTTTTGATGTTACAATATTGAAGTTTAGTTGAAAAAGGTGCTCAGGTGTAAGTGAAAGAAGATTTTTTTTTTGTTTTGTTTTATTTTGCATTTTTTTCTGCTCTCTGATGATAATCAGACACTCCAGCTCAGTCTATGCTGTGACTTCTCTGTGGGAAATATGAAGCGTATCGAGTATTGATGCGTATTCTGAGTGGGATTCTCTGAGAGTCTTCCAGCAGGTGAAGCCTTGTCCCCCTAGAGCTCAGTCCCGTCCCTGGGAAAGATCAAGCTGTTCACACTGAAGCTGTTGTAGAAGTGAGCGTTGAACTGTCCGCTCTGCCCGCCGCCGAACGTGTTGTAGTACACTCCCCGGTTAAAATGCAAGCCCTCGCCGTGGTCGGGAGGCCCCGCCCCCACCTCCTGCCCGCCGCCACTGCCGCCGCCGGGGTGGTACGGGCTCAGAGCCGTTATGTTCCTGTTCGACAGCTCGTTCACCAGTCCGAGGGACCCCTGTCGGCCGGGGGCCCCCGAGCCGAGCGCCGACATGTTGCTGTAAAAGTTATTGAAACACGGAGCGGCGGCGGCCAGCCCTGCTGGTGACGACGACGAGCTCTTGTGGTTTTCGTTCATGGCTTCCATTTCCGGGGAGGAAGGCCCCAGGAGCTGGGGGCTGTCCGAGGCCTTCATGGGGCCCGCCGCCGTCGGCCGGCTGTCCTCCAGCTTCGTGGCTGCGGCCGCAGCAGCTCCCCCGGAAAGGCTCGGGTCTGACCGTCGTTTCCTTTTCCGCCGGAAGTTTCCGTTGTCAAACATCTTTTCGCAGTTGGGGTCCAACGTCCAGTAGTTTCCTTTTCCTGCAAAGAAGATCAGGAAAATAAAATAATTTGTCATTTATTTTCTCTGCATGCAAACCTTAATCTTTAAAATATGTCAACTGAGATTTTTATTTTTTTCTTCAGAAAATATAAATTTTATTAAGTATAAATAAATAAAAATTGATAGAGGTAACTTTAAGTACATGTAATATAAACTTTAAAAAAGGTAAAAAAATAAAATAAAAAATAAAAAAACTGTTGAAACTTTGTTCCCTTCTTCCTAATTTCATTCATACATGCATTTCTTTTTGAAAGAGATGATTAAAATCTAATTTGTATCATTGTGTACAATTAGACAACGTCTTACTTTACATCTTAAGTAATTTTTTGGGGGGGAAATCATGTTTTTATAAAGTTTCTTGAAAATACATCTAACAACTTTTGTCAGATTTTGATTTTAATATGAAACTGGTAAATTCTCTTTTTATAAATGTTTGAGAATTATTAGTACTTTTGTCATAGGTACTGATCTTTGTATATTTATTTCTTAAATGTTCTACAAATTTTGACATATACTTAAGTCTTTTTTGCCCTTTTATCTTTATTTGCAGGTATTTCAAATTAAAAGATGGGGGAACAAAACTAATTCTATGAAGGTTTTAATGCTACCCATGCAATATATAAATTTCTTTTAGTAATTATACAAAAACAGAATCTTTGGTATTTACACTTGTCTTAGTGTATTTTTTAAATGATCGAAACTAACTGTAAAAGTTTTCTTTTGACATTGTAACAAAGGATTATAAACCAAGCTATTTTTGATATAACAAATTATTTAGTAGTTTGTTCTGAATGCAAAGGCCTTTTGTAAGTTTGGGCTGTTTTTTTTATTTTTATTTTTCACTTTAAAGAAAATCCAGTTCAGTTGCTCCTCACGGGTAATTCCACAATCATGGGGGGCCAACAGTACAACATTTCAATAAATACTTAAATCTGAACCATATACCTATACATTTTTAAATAAATAAAATTACTTTTCAATCTAGTTTTTCCATTGTCCCATACAACAGCAAAGCATGAAAACAACCGGACTGACAAGCTGTGCAGGTTAACAGTTTAGATGTTACTAAACATTCAATAAGCCAGTGATAATTTAAATAAAAAGGAACCATGAAAATAATTAAATTATAAATGTGTGTGATTTTTTAGTGCAAATTTAATTCGAACTTGTTGCCTATATTAGCTTTATTTTGATAAATTTACATTTAAAAAAGGGGAGGACACATTAAATGCCAGATTAGCTAATTTAGCATTACAATCACTCATATTGTAAAAAATACTAACAATACTAAATAAAATGTTAACTCTATTCACAATTTTATTCAAATCGTGACATTTTTTATTATTTATTTGTTGAACTGTGGCACGTTTGACCTTCCATACACTTAAGGCGTCACCTAAATATTTCTAACCCTTTCCAAGGTGTTTAGGTTACCTGGGTCATCCTCGTCCCTCGGGACTTTTTTGAAGCAGTCGTTCAGAGACAGATTGTGCCGGATGGAGTTCTGCCAGCCGGCTTTGCTCTTCTTATAAAAAGGGAAATTGTCAGCCACGTACTGGTAAATCTGACTCAGGGTCAGCTTCTTTTCGTGCGCGTTCTGGATAGCCATAGCGATGAGAGCGGAGTAGGAGTATGGCGGCCGGACCAGCTTCAGCAGCTCCTCCTGGCTGGCGATGGACAGCCAGCCCAGGTCGGGCCCTCCGAACCCAGGTGAGTTGGCGAGGAACTGCCGCTGCGAGCCGTAGGAGGGCGGGATGAACGGCGTCGGGTTGTTGCCGTGCAGGTAGGACGCGGAGGAGTTCACGCCCGGCCCATTGAGCCACAGGTACGGGTTCGGGGAGGAGGCGTAGTCCCCGAGGCCGTAGCCGGCGGGTCGCTGAGCGCCCTGGAGGCTCTGCTGGTGGTACACGCTGCTGAAGTTGTCGCAGTAGACCGCAGCTGCCATGTCCGGGGACTCCTGGGCGCCTTTATGTGGAAGAGAGCCGACGGTAGGGGAGGTGTGGTGCTGGTGCTGGTGATGGGACTGAGGGTCGATGGAGTTCATCACTCCCCGCGGGAAATCCCAAAGGAGAAGCTGAAGCGGTTCGGGTGGACTCTCTCGATGATGCGCGTGCAGCTGCAACAAGTGTCAGAAAGAGTGAAGCAGGTTTTAGAAGCTTTAAAAGGGAGGTGGGGGGGAGGGGGGGAACCCTGGAGAGCGGCCACATGAAGACTGTGGAGAACTCCCAGTAACTCCTAACAACCAATAGAGAGCCCAGAGGGTGTGGTTATACACTTATTGAGCTGAGAGTAGGTCAGTGGCTTCATTTAATAAAATTCATTGAGAGAAACTTTTCAAAGAGGAGGATGCTGTGACCATTTAACCTCAGCTAACAAACAACAACACCGGACAAAAAGGGCTATGTGGCCTTCAGGACTTTTAATTGAAGATTTCTATGTTCCAGGTCATTACAGTGGGATGGCCTGGGGAGAATAAGTATTTGACACACTCTGATTTTTCAAGTTTTACAAAGAATGGAGGGGTCTTTAATTTTCACCTTTGGTACACCTCATCCATTTGAGACAGAATCGAAATCTAAAAATGAATTATTTTACAGAGCCATTTAGCTTAATTATGTGATCACCTTTCAATCAGCAAGAATTCTGGCTCTGATAGATATGTTAGTTTGTCTTTAAGATGTAATCCTGTCCTCCACTCATTACCTGAATTAATCACACTTGTTATCTGTATAAAAGACACCAACCTGTCCACCACGGGCAAGATCAAAGATTAATGACCTGGAGGGAGCTGGGACCACAGTTTCAAAGGTTACCATAGTAACGCATTCTTCCTTCGAGGAATAAAATTCTGCAGCACACACCAGGCCCATGTGAAGTTTGCCAATGACCATCTAGATCAGAGTTTTTCAAAGTGGGGGTTGCTGCCCCATGAGGGGCACCAGGGTTGCTTTAGGGACACATAATTTTGGAAAAATGAGGGGGGAAAAAACACAAAAATAAAAATTTTATTAAAAATTTTTTTTATCATAAAATTTAATCTGTTTTTCAATCATTACTATAAAATATTGTTTTTCAATCATTACTATAATTTATTGAAGTATTATTTGCTATGCTCATCTTTCTGATTGGCTGCCAGTCAAATTTATCAAGCTGCTTTCAGCTAGGACAGCTAGCAAGCTAAAAATCTACAACTTTCTGACAAGAAAAAGACAAAAGAAAGCAACCCATCTGTAGAGGTCACTACTGCAAAAAAAAAAAAAAAAAAAAAAAAAAAAAAGCACACAAACGAAAAGAAATAAGATAGGTCTATTTAAAAAAAATGGTCATTGTTTGA